ATGAGGATGGCACAGGATCAGGTAGGGCTTCATTCTGCTGTACACAAGGTCACTCCGAGTTGGCACTGACTCAAGGACATCTAATAACAACAAAGTACACTGTGGTCTTCAGTGTGTCACAGCACACGGGGTTATTCCTGCCAAAACGGCTACTACTCATCTGCCTAATTTCTACTCACCTTCAAGAGCACTAGAAGCTCCAGGGCCCAGCATGTAGGGAATAATGCTGCCAACCCAAAAATGCCCTCCTGTGCAATCTACAGCTTCAAAGACCCAAGGGAGGGTCAGTTGTGAGTCACCTCTGACCTGATGACAAAGAGTATGAGTTTCTTCCATGGCTTTTATTGTTTCCTTTTTTTGCATTTTCAGAAGTTCAGAGACCTCTCTCTAGGGGCCCCTGCTTGAGGGACTACTTCTGGGTCTGCAAAGCAGCCTGTACTGGCAACATCACAGCATCTTCTGTGCTCCATGTTAGCTTATCGGTTCCCTGTCTGCTTTCTCCCCAAGTATGGAACAGCTTCACACAGGAACCCTCTCGTTAATAAGCAAGGCTCCACTGCCTAGAACAGTAGCTGCCAGACTAAGTACTGAATGTACGTGTTCTACAAACGGAGAAGCAAGATCTATCTGCTTATCTGAAAAATCCTCTGGGAGAAATATAAGAAGCTAAGGAACAGGGGTCACCTGTTTTGGCAGAAGCAAAGAGCCCAGGAATAAGGTCAAAGAGAGATTTCATTATGTGGCTTTCTAAATTATCAAATTTGAAAGCAACAGGAATTTATCACCTATCTAAAAGTTAAATTTTCAAAAATAACTGCTTTTGAGGGGGAAGCGACATGAATCCTACTAGAAAGTAAGAGTCCTGAACGCCAAGGAATGGCACTCTCAGTCATGGTCAAAGCCTACAGCATGTAGAATGCAAGAAAAATCAGGGGTTCTCCAAAAGGCCAAGATGTAACCTGCATCACAGAAGAGCAAAGCAAAGAGCCAAGTAAATGTTCACAAGTTAACCTGTGAGGATAATCTGCTCTTGTCAAGATTACTCATTATCACCGAGTCAGATTCGACCAGTTGATGACTTTGTCCAGTAGGTTTTCTGCACTATATATAAATCACACGCCAAGAGAACATCTTTCTTTCCTGAAGAGCTGCTGGTGGATATGAACACCCAGAGAAGCACCACTTTTAGCACCTCCTTTCTGACTACGTCACCATAGGCTGTAAAAGAATACAGGCTAGTCTTTTGGGGTTTTAGAGTAGATTTTTCTTATGGGTCAGTTCTCCTCTAGCACAATCAACAAAGGATTTGATGCCACCCAACAACAGGATGGAAGGGGGACGAGGTCTGGAGTGTGTGGTAGGATGGCGGGATGCAGGGTCAGAGTATCCCAGCAGCATTCAAACACAAACAGGAGCTTTCACAAGACGACACAGGATATGACTCATGCATACCTGGGAGACACACTATGGATAAGAAAAAAGGTGCTATTTATTACAAACACATTTACACGAAACAGTGGGGAGGATACAGAAGTGTCCAAAGATGACAAAAATATTTTAGATAAATGGTAAGGAATTATAATTAAACCATTAAATATAATTAAGCCATTTGATGAGTTAATACCAGATTCTTTCAAGAAACCATTCTTTTCTAATTGCTTCAATTCAACTTCATAGGTCACAACGAAATGCTATGGAAATTAAATGTATGTAGACTGAAAGTATTAATAGAAAACAAGTAATAACTAGCATGTGCAGTAAGTTTATTTGGGGAAATTCAAACAAGAAGAATTAAAAATAAATACCATACCAAACCTCTCCTAATCTCCAAGGAAGAAAGTTTATGACATTTTTAAAATTACTTCCTTCTATTTTATGATATCAATAAAAATAATATCATGTCCCAAATTTCTGAAACCTCTAAATGTTATAACTATTAGTTATACTAAAACAGCATTTCACTCAAGCAATCTATGAATGGTATGAATTATCGGGGGAAACCTACACCCATATAATTTACTGCCTCTGAAAACCCTCTGGTGAGTCAGGCATAGGTCGGTTCTGGCTTGATGGTACATAGAACCAACCTAACAAGGGCAATCTGTAAGTTTTATATGAATCCTTGGAAAACTAGAGGAAGGTCTAGTGTCTGCAAGAAATCCTGCATTCCTTGACTAGACAGGGGAATCTGCGCTTCTCCAACATGCCTATGATGTACTAAAGGCAGAGACACAGGATGAGCAAGCGTGGATCCCTGCTGGCTCAGAGCTCATGGTCTAGAGGGAAAACAGTGATGAGTGTGACAGGTGCTGTCAGTGAAGCAAGAACAGGCTTGTGCAAGTACACAGGAGCAAACGTCCCATGCTGTCAGTCAGAAGGGCACACAATCGTGCAGCTGTATCCTACACAAGGGCAGACAACCAAGGGTACGAGGCTGGGTCCCACCTGCATGCCACTTGCTGTATGTGTGTGAGGCTTTCCAGACAGAACTTTTATCTCTATCTTAAAGATGAAGTTTGAGATGCAATTTAAAAAGGGAAGAAGAGGTAGTAAACTTAACAGCTCACAAGTACAACACAGTAATTGACATTAAGCTGCTCTCAAGTCCCTCTGCCCTGTCATATGCAAGAAGATGCTCAAGTAGGAAAAGGTGAAGAGGAATGACCTCATAGGAGGAAGTGACCACCAAGCCCAGCAGTTTGAATGTGAATCTACCAGCAATAGGATGGCCGTGGTAGAGGAGGGGTGTGGAGATCCTGAGGAGACGCTACAGGAGGAAGTGAGGTTTCCATTCTGGCACCCTGACAGAACTGAGGCTGTGAGGGAGCTGAGGCACCAGAAAGGTCCGGTAATAACCTGGTTATCACTGTCCATCTATCTCCAAGGTTACAGACATTAAAACTCAACAACAAACAACGCACTGTTGAGTCAGAACCAGCTCATAAATGACCCTCCCAGAAGGTTTTCAGAGGCTCTAAATTGCACAGGAGGAAACTGCTCATCTTTTCCCCACAGAGCAGCTAGTAGATTCAACCTGCTTTCCTTGGGGTTGGCAGCACAACACCTGACCACTAGAGTTACCTCACAGATGTGACATAATCCCTTATTATGGCATTTGTTATGAGAATGAAAAAGTTTGTTGTTACATAGCATCAAGTCAGAACTGACTCACAGCTGATCCTCCAGCAGGTTTTCAGAGGCAGTAAATTTCTCCAAGGAGTTGACTGCCCATCTATCTGTCTCTTAAAAAGCAGCTGGTAAATTTGAACCATTCACCTTTGGGTTGGCAACTCCCTACCACTAGGTAACCACAGCTCTCTAATTTCTTGTAGAAGAGTAGTTAGGAAAACCAAATATAACTAACTTTTAAACAGAACCTAAAATAATTGCCATTTGGATTAATCCAAAAGCATCATTAAAAAGCAGTTCCCAGGTCGCCTGGACAGGAGCTCTGGTGGCACCATCTGCAGGGAGTTGTGCTGCTAATCCAAAAAGCCACACATCTGTCGGCTGGAATCCACCAAAAGATCCTCAAGAGAAAGAAAGTCTTTCCAGCGACTCACAAACTCAGTCACTCAATGCAGGGTCAGCTCTGAGCTAGTCTCAACTCAACAGGGGTGACAGTGATTGAGGGCTTGGCTGGCATCAAGACCAATATATGTTCTCACTTAGACAGAACTCCCACAGACCTCATCAAACATCCTTTACAAGCAAAACTATTACTAGGAGAAAGTAAGGTTTTCCTAAAACCTTTTCTCTTCAAACTGTTATAACAAATGGTAGTAAAATTATTCTTAATAAACCATCAGAATCCCACAATGATGTCGTCTTACAATTAATCCTGTACTTCACATCAACATGTTAAATATACGTATCTTTTTCCCCAGCAGTTCTGCACTCAAGAAAATAAGGAAATAATCAGACAGGTACTCAGATACGTGTGTTCAGAGATGTTCATCACTGTGACCTCTGTGAGAAATGGAACTATGAATTATTATGGGAGTCATTAACAAATGGCTTTAATCTCCCCATCTCTACACCGTTGCTGCCTGGCTACAGAGCACAAAAGCCCTAGCCCTGACATGACATAAAAAAATACATCAATTGCACAAGAGCTATTAAAATAAAAATAGAAAAAAAATCCCAAACAAACATGGTTTTACACTTATTGACAAGAAAAGATAGCCGTATTTTTTAAGATGTGTAACATAACTCTATTTTGAACGCTTGTTTTCTTTTTAATGGCACTTGGGGTGGAAGGGTGATCTAGAATGACCCATACTAAATTTGTTATGTATTCATTGTCTTTGGCTAAAAGAAAAACCAGTACTTTTTGCTTCTTTTTCTTTGTACTTTGCTAATAGCCTACATTTTTGCAGAGAGACTAGATTGTTTATTAAAAAAGTCACTAAATACGTAACTCAAATTCATGGCCACGGAGCTGGTTCTAACTCACAGCCATCATCTTCAGATGCTGCAATTCCTCACAGGAGGTGGCTACCAATAGCCACTGGTGGATTCAAGCCTCAGGAAACGCATGGAGAGAGCTTAACAGTGCAACTCTCTACTGTCTAAGCCACAAGAGAAGTAAATAGGTATGTGGAGGTCGGTAGAAGGACCCTTGGTGGTGGTGACCCACTAACCGTAAGGTCAGCAGTTTGAATTTACAGCTATTAGCTGCTCTGTGGAGAAAGCTTCAGAGTCAAAATGTGTCAGAGTCCATGCAATTGCGGTGGATTTGGGTTTCTTGGATGTCTCTGTGTGAATGTGTGTTTAATTTTAAATTAAAATGTTATGAAATAAAAAGTCCATCTATGCGAGATTCTTAGAACAGGCAACTTTCTAAATCAGTAGTTCTACTAAGTCAATAGTAAATGATTCATTAACATATAAATCTCTGAATTACATATATACCTATGTATATTTATATATACATGCAAAGGTATATGTATAAATCTCTTAATCTGAGTTATAATTATTTCCAAAGTGGGCTTCCTTACCTTTTCCAGGGCTAAGATTCTGGTCTATAAAGACCTTGAGTTCTCCATTGGCTTCAATTAGACCGGCCTGCAAAAAAATAAATACTGGTTTATAGACAGAATGCCTAAAGGAGCAATAAGCTAAAGGTTGTTTATAAACTATCCTGGTCCAAGGGTTGGCATAAAATAACTTCTTAAAAAGAGATGGGGGGGTGGGGGAAGGTCACCATATGGAGCTCCTTTAAAGTGCAAATGGATTTCTCTCTCAAAAAAAGAACTTCTGAGAACCCCTAGGTAAAAACTCAACCCAGAGGCCAACATACACTCAGCAAGGCATCCTGGGAAACAGAAGAGTCTGACTGCTAAGCTTAGCAGGTAAATTATGTGACTGATTATAATCAATATTTAAAAGATCATTTGAAGGTTTTAGTTTTAGCCTTTAAACTTTAGCCCCAAAGATAAATAATGAAATATCATCTTTTATTTAATAATTCAGCAAGAATGTTTTCCATGACAGGATCCTGGCAGCTCTAATGGTGTAGTGGGTAAGGAGTTGCACTGCCGACCCAAAAGCAAAGAGGGTCTGGATCCACAAGCTGTTCCGAGGGAGAAATATGGGCAATCTCCTCCTGTGCGATTTACAGCCCCTAAAAACCTGCTGGGAGATAAGCTATGAACCAGTTCTGACCAACAGCACATACCAATATCTTGGAGAGACAAGTATTTCCTGTTGGTGGAAGTAATAATTCATTCAAACACTTTGGGAAGGAAATGGTACTACACCTTGATATGTAACAAAGATCTATACTTTGGTCACATCCTTTGGTCTCAATATCTCAGCTGTGTGAATTTTTAAGGAGTAAAGTTGATGTAGACACACACATTCTTTTAATACAAAGAGTAGTAAAGGCTTACATGCAGGTAATGTTAACTGTTCCTTCTGACCACCTCTGCTTGCAGTTAATACAAAACAAGGGGTATGGTAAGTGCCTGACACTCTGACTGACACAAGAATACTATTTACTGAGTCATTTTAGGATCAATTACAAAAACCGAGTGGAGTGGCCCCACAAGCACTCGGTATTGAAGTGTGTTCAAACACAATAGCCCCTTACCATGGTGCCTAGGCATGTGCACTATGATTATCTAGAGTTGAAAAAAAAATTAGAGCATGCAAACATCTACGAGGAAAATGGCTGTAAGACACAGAACATTATATTGTGTTAAAAAAATAAGAAAACTCATCAGGTCTTTGATCATTGGTGTTCAATGCCTCAAAACTATTCCTATGATGATCTTAAAATTCAGATGGAATTGATTCAAGATCCTATCTTGGTTCCTGTGGATTTATTTTCCCTTTTTTTCGGTTTCAATTTGAACTTGCACATGAGTAATTGATGAGTACTCTGCTCTTGGCCTAGTTTTGACTGCTGATATTAAGCTTCTCCAACCACTTATTCCACAAATATAGTCAATCTGATTCCTATGCAGCCCATCGAAGAGATTCCTGGGTAAAACCATCGTTTTGTATTTTTTTAAAAAAGGCATTTGCAGTCAATTAATCATTGTAAATACAAAATTCAATCATTCTATTTCCAGCCTCATTTCCACCACCATGCCCACCCATATTTTCCAAGTACTATTACTTCTTCAGTGTTTCCCACTTTTGCATTCCAGTCATCAATTATCATTAACGCATCCTGATTGCATGTTCAGTCAATTTTAGACTGCAAGATTTGGTAAAAATTCTCAATTTACTCCTCTTTGGCTCCAGATATAGGAGCATCTATCTGAATAAACAGTCATGTTAACAGGTCTTCCTTGTATGCCTATGGATATCATCCTATTACTCACAACATTATATTTCAAGATAGAGATTGAAATCGACTTTTTTACTATGCTTGCAACACCATTCTTCTGTTTTTCATTCCCGGCATAGTAAACCACATGATTATCTGATTCAAAGTGGCCAAAGCTGATCCATCTCATCTCACTAATGCCTAGTATGTCAATGTTTATGCATTCCATTTAATTTTTAATAATTTCCTGTCCAACATTCAAGCTACATAAATTCCATGTTCCAATTATTAAATGATGTCTGTTATTGTTTTCTCGTCATTTCTACTGACTTCCAGTCTATGCCCTACCACTTCATTACTATAACTATCCTTGTTCTTCTAGTGTGCATAGTTTTCAAAGGCCTGTTAAGAAGTGGACACACAAGTAAATGAATGGCAAGTACACAGAAAACTGAGTTTGAAAGGAATGATCTAATTGTTACAAAAGATTATCATATGGGTTTTAAAATTACAGTGATTTGTTTTATTTTCTATATGAAGAGAGAGAGAGATTTTATGTGTCTTTCTCTTCCCTAAATTTCATCTGAGTGTCAGAAAGTAGAATCTATCTTTCCTACCTTAGTAACTAACAAAGATGGTACTGGTTCAAGGACACAGAGAGGAGTTCTGAGAAAGGAAACCCTCTTAACATGTGATCTGGTCACCAAATAATAAATATACTCACCCCTACACACATACCTACTTATAAACAATCTAGACATTTAACATCTCCCTCTTTACCATTCCCAGGTCTCCGGCCATTCTAGGATGAAGCAAGGAACACACTGGAAAACAATGGTCCAGTTACCCACCATGGTACAAGAAGTCCAAGAATATCTCCAGGGGCTGAATAAGTACTGTCACCTCCCATGTGTCCACAAACCCCAAGCAAGCTGTGGTTGTCAAAATGAAAGCATACAAAGCACACTGATGCATTTGGATTTCCCTGCTGACCATGTCTGTGAGCTCAATGTACAAAGTATTCAGAAGGAATCTGTCAATTTTTGAAGATAGTTTAATTTATCTTGAAAAGTCTCCCTCACTCCTTTCTTAACCTTAGCAAAACTGTAGAGGAGGGAGACACTGACCTAATGCCAGGGCCCAGGTCCTGGGACTCACTGTCAGATGGCCTCTGAGGATGAAGCCCAAAGAGTACATACATATATAGCAGATCACTTAAGAGTCAGGTGGGAGCTAGGCTACAAAGAGCCCCTGTGAGTGACATAACAAGTACAAAGTCATAACACACACACACACACACAAATCCCTACCCTGAAACCTTGTTTAGCCCCTCGTTTTTATAAGTGGACAGCAAAATAAACTTTCCAATATCCATTTGTGGGACAAATGACAGGACAAGAGCTGGCAAGGAAACAATTATAACTTTTGGATGCTCAATCTAGGCCACTTGAACTAGATGAGATGGATCAGAGTCCCAGGCAAGTCTAACAGGAGCTCAAGCAAGACACACAATTTCCAAATGTGATTTATGAGACACCTAGTCCAGGTACCCAGACAAAAGTTTCCATTACATTAGCCACTACAACACTCTGATTTTTAAAAGCCTCTGGAATATCAAGAAACTAGAAGATACCTATGGTTCATGTTAAAGTCTGTGAACTTGCATCCAGAAGTCACCTTCTATTATCATTCCAATACTGTATCCTGCACATAGAGAGCACTCGGTCACTCGGTCAGTGCTACTCTGACTTCAAAGAGTAGGATGGTGGCGACTTGGGGCCACGGATGGCTTTGTGTGCTTCAGTCAGAACACAAACTCTGCAGTTATTGGTCAAACAAGCCACGGAGTCAGATGATAAAGAATGTGGTTGGGTCTGGGTGAAGTTTAAGTCCCAGTTTAAGCAATTACCACCTATGAGATCATAACTTTTCTAAGCTACCTTCCTAAATTGTAAACAGAGTTAATAGCAGCACCTTGCCTATCAGGTCTTTATGAAAATAAGAGGAAACACTATACATAACAAACCTAGCATATAGTTGAACACATCAATACTCAAGCATTCACTGCTGGTGAATTGGAAAAGACTCATAGCTGACCCTCCGGCAAGTTTTCAGACTGTAAATCATACGAGAAGAGATTACCCATCTTTCTCCTTTGCCTCTACATTGCCAACTCAACTCCATAGCCACTAGGCCATCAAAGTTCCCTTTATCAACACTGCTCTTATTATTGTGTGCCGAGCTGAGTACAACACAGCAACCTATGAACAACATCAGGTCAGAACCCTGTCCTATCTTGTGCCATTCTCATCATCTCAGGTACACTTGAGCCCATCTGCTGCAGTCACTGTGTCAATCCATCTCATTGAGACTTTTTCTCTCTTTCAATGATCTTCTACCTTTCTTAGCACGATGTCCTTTTCCAAGGAATATCCCCTTCTGCCAATATGTCCTTAGTATGTGAGATGAAGCTTTTCCATCCTTGCCTTTAAGGAGTACTCTGGCTGCACCTTATCCAAGTAAGATTCAGTCTTACATGGATAAGTTGACAATTTCAATCTTTTATCATGAGGCTGCTTACAGGTCCAGTGGTGAGAATTTTTGTCTTCTTAAGGTAAAGATGTAATACATATTGAAGGCTGTAGTCTTTTTTTTATTTCTCTATCTAGCTTTTGAGAGACGCGATGGGCAAAAATTTGAATGAACCAGGAAGCATCAAAAGAAGATAGAAGAAATACACCAAGTCACTGTACCAAATAGAATTGGTCAACACTGAAATATTTCAGGAAATATCCTATATGATCAAGAACGAATGGTAATAAAGGAAGAAGCTCAAGCTGCTCTGAAAGCACTGGTAAAAAACATGCTCCAGGAACTGATGGGAAACAATTGACATGCTTCAACAAACAGATGTAGCCTTTGACGTGCTCGCCAGTCTGTGCCAAGAAATCTGGAAGACACCAGCTACCTGGCCAACTGACTTGAAAAGATTTATACCTGTTCCCATTCCCAAGAAAAGTGATCCAACAGAATATAGAAATTATCAAACAGTATAATTAATATCACACACAAGCAAAATACTGCTGAAGATCATCAAAAAATGGCTAAAACAATACACTGATAAGAGCAATGTTAGAAGTTCAAGTTGGGTTTAGAAGAGGTGATAGTACCAGAGATATCATCACTGATGGAAGGCAGATGGATCTTGGCTGAAAGCAGAGAATACCAGAAAAATGTCTATTGGTTTTTTAATGACCATGGAAAGGCACTGAAAAGAATGGGAATTCCAGAACGTTTAATTATGCTCATACAAAATCTATACAGAGACTAAAGTTATCTAAACAGAGCAAGGGAACACTGCATGGTTTAAAATCAAGAATGGTATAAGTCAAAGGCATTCTTTCTCTGCATCTATTCAAGCTGTATGCTGAACAAATCATTCGAGAAGCTCGATTCATGAAGAAAAATAAGGTATCAGGATAGGAAGAAGATTCATCAACAACCCGTGTTATGAAGATAACATTTCTTGTTGTTTGGTGTCACAGTAAACCTGTGAACAACAGACCTGAGCCCTGACCTCAGCCTTATCATCTGATATGCTCAACCCCACTGTTACAGTAATCAACACTAGTGATTTAACATTAGCACCATACTTTCACCATCAGCAACCAGAATAAAAAATTATAAGCCTGCTGTCATTGCAGTTCAAGCCGGTCTCTAGGTCAATCACATGCAGAGGCTACACAGATCACTCTGGGGATGACTGATGGTCCAAGTTATTCCCTATCATAGCCCCTTTGTTCTATCAACACCATAGAAGTGTCACTCCCTGGAATGATGTATTGACTTTCACTGTCTGTATGTGTCACTACAATGAATGAAGGAAGACACACATTTCTTTGGAGAAATCTACAAAGCTAGGTATTGGAAGAAGAATAGCTCTCCATTAGCTGGTGCAACTGAAGCGACTACTAGCTCCTCTCCCCTGGCAACAGAAATGTGCTATTTTTAATGTGTGTAGAAGGCAACATCAGAATAGTATCTGTTTACCACGTTAAGCCACTATCTCAATTGAACCAAGGACAAACCTGGTATTCTAAGGCTCTCTACATCCCATCTTTCATCAAAATGAGGGAGAAAAAGGCTGGAAAAACACAGCATATAACAAGTGAAAGTCCATCAGGGGCTCAGGGCAAGCCTGCCTTCACTCTGTTCTACCACCTTTAACTGTCATTATGCTACTGCCCTAAGATCAGTTTCTAGTACGTACTAACCAAAGGCACTTTCCACAAATAACATCGATCACCTACCATCAAAATTGAAATCTCCTGCAGTACAACAGAAACCTTAGTTTTGTCCATGTATCCAATGCTTGAACATATGTTATTTAATTTAAATTCTCACTTCTTTGAGACAAGCTAATTCACAAAAGAGCACTGTAGCTGCTGAGATGACTGGTTTTACATGAATGTTTCTCTGTCCCCCTCCTGTTATTTCTTCAGTCAACATTGGCAGTGGAAATGAAGATCAGCAAACACCCTGAAACTAAAAAATCTAGGAAATAACCACAACAAGATAAAGGTAAACAGCTCAATTGAAAAATGGGAACAGGATAGGAACAGACACTTCACCAAAGAAGACATTCAGATGGCAAACAAACACATGAAGAAGTGTTCAAAATACTTAGCTCTAAGAGAGATACGAATCAAAACAACTATAAGATATCTCACCCCAGTAAGAATAGCAAAATTTAACAGAACAGCAAACAACAAATGCTGGTGAGGTTGCAGAGAAACTGGAACCCTTATTCGCTGTTGGTGGGAGTGTAAAATGGTGTAACCACCGTGGAAGGCGATGTGGTGCTTTCTCAAAATGTCGGAAAGAGAAATACCATATGGCCCAGAAATTCCACTACTGGGAATATACCCCAAAGAAACTATAACTGCCACCCAAGCAGATCTATATTCACCCATGTTTACTGAGGCTTTGTTTACAATAGCAAAGAGTTGTAAACAACCCAAGTGCCCATCAACAAACAAATGGATAGAGAAGCTGTGGTATATTTACACAAGAGAATTCTATGTAGCAATGAAGAACAAGGAATTCATGAAATATACAAAATGGGTGACCCTGGAGGACATTATGCTGGGTGAAATATTTCAGTCACAAAAGGACAAATACTGTATAATGCCACTGTTGTAAAGCAGGACTGACATCAGAGTTGGGGGGAATCTAAGAGGGGCTAAATAATATATACTGCATTGAAACAGATGAGGGAAAGTACTGTATAAAAGAAATATATGATTAGGTATTATTGCTATGAAAAGAGTCCAGAATGAAACCTGCATAGTGGAGTGGACTGGGGGGGAGTGGGATTGTATAACAATGAAAGATTTTTTTTTTTTACTTGTCAAAGAGAAAAGCATAGTGGGAGGGTAAGGTAGGTGGGGAGGAAGGTGTGCAACAATGAATGAATAGATATTTTAAAAAAATTAATTCATAGGCTGGGAAAAAGTAATAAAAAATATATATAATGTAAGTCATAAAAAAATGCCCCCCCAAAAAAATCTAGGAAATAAAAAGTTCACACAGGGCAGTCTCTTAAAAAAAATAAAATAAAATAAAAATCCCAAAACAAACAAACAAACAAAACCCACCATGTTCTAGGAATGCAATTCTTTAATAAGAGCCTCACAGAAGGTATATGTCCAGCTTAGGTCAATATTAATAAAAGCTACTTGTATTCTCCAAGGTCACCTAGGGTCCTGGTGGGAATGCAGCAGACTCCGGCATTGGCTGTC